TTTTCCCGAACACAACGCACCCTCATTGTGAATGTATACGAAGTGTAAGTCCGATCAGATACAGGCATATTGAAGGTGCGTTGTATTCGGGGAAAGACGGTAGTTGGGGGGGAAGGGAGGTATCACGGAAAGGTTTAAGCAGTGCAGAATGAACGTAGACTGTTTTTTTGGCGAAGCACTGTACACTGAATGTAGACTGTTTTGGGAAAACGAAAAAGCAACTTACCTCTCCTTTCCCCTTCCCCACTGCCGACCACTTCTTATATTTCGAAACATCATCGGTTTTCCCTGAGATCGCCTTCATCATCAACCGATGATGATGATGATGATGATTGAGGATGATGATGATGATGATGATGATGATGATTGAGGACGCTGATGACGATCAGCATGATTGATGCTCCTGCTGCTGCTCTGCTGCTGCAGCTGCAGCTGACGATGACGATGAGTATGACGATGGGGATAAGGATGATTGAGGATGATGATGGCGATGGTAATCGTGCTGATGACGGTCATGATGAGTAATGATCATGGTGATGATGATGAGGATGAGGATGATCGACGAGGAGGAGGAGGAGGAGGACGATGATTGCTGCAGCTGGTGATGGCGATGAGGATGAGGTTACTGCGGATGATAATGGCGATGATGATGGTAATGATGATGGTAATGATAGGTGATGATGATGGTGATGATGGTGGTGGTGATGAGGACGAGGATGATTGAGGAGGAGGAGGAGGAGGAGGATTGAGGATGGTGATGACAACGAAGGAGGAGGAGGAGGAGGAGGAGGAGGAGGAGGAGGAGGAGGATTGAGGATGGTGATGACGATGGAGCAGGAGGATTGAGGATGGTGATGACGATGGAGCAGGAGGATTAAGGATGGTGATGACGATGATGGAGGAGGAGGAGGAGGAGGAGGAGGAGGAGGATAGAGGATGATTGATGAGGATGGTGGGGATGGAGATGGTGATGGTGATGGTGATGGTGACGAGTCCTTGAGGCAAGAAGAGGACGACCGGCTTCCCCCCCCCCAACACAACGCACCCCCATCCCGACTTCCTAACGGTTGGAAATTAAACGGATAGGGTGCGCTGCCATCGGTTGAGATGGTAGATGGTAGGATTGAAAATCATCCACGAGTCGATCAGCAGGATCGAACGCGCGACATCCCACTTGGGAGGTGGGAGGCCAACACTCGACCAAACGCCTCCGAGGATTGGGGAGCCCCAACCAAGAGGGCGGTCCCGCGCTCGATTCTTGTGATCATGACGGTAGCGGAGAGAACGAACAAGGAGGAGGAGGAGGAGGAGGAGGAGGAGGAGGAGGAGGAGGTAGAGGAGGAGAAGAGGACGCGGAATAACTACGGTGATGATGATGATGATGATGATGATGATGATGATGACGATGACGATAAGGATGATGACATTACGATCACCATCTGGAGATGACGATGACGATAATGATGATGATGATGATGATGATGACATCACGATCACCATCTGGAGATGTTGATGCTGTTGCTGCTGTTGATGATGATGATGGTGATATTTTGATGACGTCATCATCATCGGCACAGTCGAAGCATCCACGTCATCGTCTCGGTATATCTTCTTTTTATCGTCGTGAGAAGATATTCCCGTGAATTTTTTTTATTTTTTTTTTTCGCCCCCTTCGATTTATGCGTGCCATCCTCGCTCTGGGGCCATGCTAATCTTGTCTAGGTTCTCTGTATCGTTCCGAGCTTAACGGATGTCTCGAGGGACTCCTTTAATCTTTCTTCTCCTTTTCATCTTTGTGATTTGCATTCTTTTTTCCCTCTTTTTCTTTTCTCTCTTTTTATTTTTTTAATAATCTTTTCATCTATTCAACTTCCTTATTGGCTCCTTTTTCTTTTTTTGACTTCTTTTTTCTTTTTTTGATGATTTTTTCAATTTGTGTTTTTTTTCTTAATTGTCATCATGACTACCTTCCTGATCATCTTCCTTTTAATATTTTCTCATTTTCTTCTTCTTTTCGATTTTCTTTTTCCTTTCCTTGTGTTTTTTAATTTTTTTTTTTTTAATGTTTGATTTTTTCTTGTTCTTGATTTTGCATTTTTCATATTTTCTTCTGTATTTTCTTCAATTTTTTTTGTTTTCTATTTTCGATCGATGTTGACGACGTGGCGGGTGACGAGGACGCCAACGAGGGTGCGATCGAAGCTTTTGTTTTAATATAAAAAAATATATATATTTGTTTTCCTTGATTTTTTTTCTTTTTTCTATTATCTTCTTCATTTCTTTCTATTTTTTCTACTTTTTATTTTCTCTTCAAAAAAAAAAAAACGTGCTTCCATCGTCTCCCCCCCCCCCCC